ATTTAGTCTTATTTAGTTTGCTGTGTTATAGCATCCTACCTCTACACCGGCCAGAGCATTATGTTTCCGCCCATTCCTTTTTTGTGCACATGATTTGACCTTGCGTCCATTCAGTTGGGCAAAAAAGTTCATTGATTATGTTTCAGTCGTCAAAGATTTACATCACCATGACATCACAAAACAAATAATTTGCCTTGTGAATGCAGGAGCACCTCAGGAGCACCTCCAGGAAATCCTTTCAAATTTGGCTCAAACATTCTATTTGACTCACAGAGGAACTGATTGATGGTTAAATGTCAAGATGGCCTCACAAAACTAGATTTGGCACATATGTTCACTTGGACTCAAGGATTGACTAATTCGTTTTGGGTGGTTAAAGTTTAAGGTCACGGTGGCCTCATAACAAAATATCAAGTCTGGCTTTCGGGAATTTCTTTAAATTTAGACCAGTTATCACTTGAACTCAAAGATAAATGGAGTTTCAGTAGTCAAAGGTCAAAGCTCACAATGACCTTATATTTGGGTCCAGAAAAAAATGTAAACTAAATCTGTTTCCAACAAAAAAAAGTTAATTAATAAAACTCAACATACTTTGTGATACTGTGACATTTGATCATTTAAATGAAGGACACAATTCTCTAACTGCACCAGGTGTTAAAAGAAGGTAATGGACTATTTTATGTGGTTCTCAAAATGAGAGTGCAGGTACCCTCGAGAGGACGGGATAGCAAGTGTGTTTGTGCACTCTCTTGCCTCGGGCTTGTTAAATTGGCAGATCGATGATGCTTTAAATCAATGTTCTAACAACGTCACAAACCCCATGGAACCCATTAGTGGATTAAGATAGACCACTGTTCCACACTGAGTCCTATCCTGCCTGCAGGTCCTTTCCACATGACAAATGGGAGGAAAAACTGTTAAATAAAAAGAAAGGGAAAAGGCCAGCCAAGAGAGTGAGAGCAAAGAGCTGTGGCAGAGAACATTTTGACAGCCAAGGCCGGGGTCAGCACTTGTCAACAAGAAAACCTGTATCTCTTCCTCATCCAGAGTCACAGAGGGAGCTGAATATTCTCCTACTCTATAAAGAATCTCTTCTTGAATCAACCAGGACTTTGTATGATTCCTTCCCAGTGCACAGGAGAGTATGCAGATGGGAATGTTGGAGAGCAGAGGAGAAAGAAAGGGAGGAGTGGAGAGTGGATGAAAGGGGGAGCCAGTCTTTCTCTACTTGCATTGTTTATGTGCCACTATCTGCGGATCATTGATCCATTCATCTTCATTACATCTCCCTGTGACAACTATTAACTGCTGCCACCCTCAGTTGCATGCCTGCGATGTTGACGTGCACTATAAGGTCTCTCCACCGGCCTAACAATTATATTGCTGGTGGATAAAACGAGACAGAATTATATTATTGTGTTAACTGTCTTCACCAGGTGGGTAGCTACAGGTAAAGGTAGATTTAACTGCTATCGACAGCATGTAACATGTCACTTCCATCTTAATAATACAGGTATGGTTGATTCTTGCATGTTTGCGTTATGCTGCAAGCTTCTTTTCTGACCCATATAATGTATGTTGCATAATAATGAATCAAACATCCACCCACTCATGCTCAGTAGAAGCATCTTTGTAATAGGATTCAGCACATACGTGAACTGTAATTGTAGCCAGGAAATAAATCCCTGTTGGTTTTTTTAAAACATCTACACCGTCCAGAATCCTCTGTTTATTGCACACATACCTGCAAATGTCCCCCAAGAGACACTCCTGCCACGATTTCTCTCTGCTCTAACTGCTATCGTTGTTTATGCGAAGGGTGTTGTTGTCTAACTGCCTGGGCCCAGTGAGACATCATGGGTCATCAGCAGCAGCTTGAACTGCACCCCATGATTCCACTTGACTGCCAAGATCTCTTTCACCTCACTGTGTCAACTCATGGCTTCCCCTCACTTGTGAAATCTGACAAGTTTGGCTTGTACTTGTTGTTTGTAGAGTGTTATTTTTGAGTAAATATGAGACGAGCTGACTGTTAAACTGCTTAGTGTGTGTCCTCCGTCTGTCTGTCTGTCTGTGTCCTCACCATCTTCTTTCTCTGTATCTTTATTTCATAGAATCAACCACTGATCCAACAATAGTCCTTAGTGCTGTCGGGGCAGAAAAGGAGAGACTGAGCATGGCCTGGGGTGGCGGCCACTGTTGCTATGTGTGAAGGAGTGCCAAGACGTCAATGGAGACCGAAGGCTATCGTGACCTCCTGGAGACCAGTGACGGCCAGGGGGTAGGCCTGCTGGATGGCGGTGGCGAGGTGGGTGTGGAGGAGGGCTGGAGCTCACCCTACCCTCTGGGCTTCCAGGTGTCATTGACTACTGTGCTGATGCTGGAGCTGGTGCTGGGCTTCAGCAGCAACCTGACTGTGCTTGTGCTCTACTGCGCTCAATCCAACCTGGTGGATTCAGTCAGCAACCTGGTCACGGTCAACCTCCATGTGCTGGACATACTGGTCTGTTTGCTGTGTCTGCCGCTCACTGTGGCTGTGATCCTGCTGCCTGCTAGCGAAAGTGGAGTCGGCAGCCTGGCCACGCTGTGCTGCTTTCATGAGGCCTGTGTCACATTCACCAGCGTGGCGACAGCAGTCAATGTGTTGGTGATCAGTCTGGACCGATATGACATCTCAGTGCGTCCGGCGAGTCGTCTGCTGACCCCCAGGCGTGCTGCGCTGCTCCTGGCAGCAGTTTGGGCTGTGTCTCTGGCTGTCTTCTTCTTGCCCTTCCTTGAGGGGGACTTCTTCTCTTCAATGGTGGAGGATGGTGAAGATGAGGAGCTGGAAAGGCAGAATAAGGAGCCTGAATTCACCACTGGACTGACTCCCATTTTTTCCTCCCCCTCTCCCTCCGTATTACCCTCCACTCACCCATCCTCCGCTTCCCACCACCTCTCACCAGTATGGCAGAACAGGACACTGCTGTGTGTCGGAGGGCAGGGGTATTACACAGGCCTGGCAATGTATTACCACTTATTACTCCAAGTGCCCTGCTTTTTCATCGCTGTAGTCGTCATGTTGTTCACCTACTCCAGGATCCTACAGGCCCTCAACATCCGCATTGGCTCCCACATGATGAGGGGTTCACGTACAAAGGACTCCACCTGCAGAATACGTTGCAGGAGGCAGAAGAAGAAGGACCTGAGCCTGCCCACAGAGGTAGTGTCCTCCAACCAGAACCAGAACCTTAGCCATCCTCCTCTCATCCCCTCTCCCACGCCTACACCAACATCACCCCCACCACTCTCCTCCATGCCCCAAGGGATGTCTGACAGCGGAGCAACAGTCACCACAGTTAGCACTGCTGCCACCACCCCCATTGCAACCACACCAGCTACCCCTGCTTCTCCAACCCCAGCTTCGGCTTCAGCCTCAACAATGCAGACCCACGCCACCTCACCACTGCCTGCCTCCTCCATGGGAGTCCAGGCCTCAGTTTCGGCCATCATTGCTTTGAGGCGTGCAGTACGCAGACACAGGGACCGCCGGGAACGCCAACGTCGCGTCCTAAAAATGTCCCTAATCATCATATCCACCTTCTTGGGATGCTGGGCCCCTTTGTCCATGGTCAACGTTTTGATCCTGTGTCTGGGTCCAAGCGACAGCCTGGTGCGGCTTCGCCTTTGCTTCCTAGCAATGGCTTATGGAACCACTATCTTTCATCCTCTGCTCTATGCTTTCACCAGGCAGAAGCTTCGCCGCGCCCTCAAAACACGGGTCAAGAAGAGGGTGGTATCCCTTCTGCAGGTGGACCCAGCTGTCAGCGGGGGGACTGTTATTCATAACTCCTGGGTGGAGGGGGGAGGCCAGAGGAAGAGTCGTAAACCACGGGTGGAGGCCAGTGACGGCACTGATCGATGCCTCACTGAGGCAGTGAAGGAATGAAGCTTAAGCATGCACACGTGTTTGCGTGTATGTGTGTGTGTGTGTGTGTGTGAATGTAAAGAATTATATGTCTCCAATTTGCTGGAGATGGATCTGGTGTCTATTCATGCACGGGTGAGAGAAAAATAAGAGCCAGTTTGTTTACAAAGGTCAGGACAAAACTCCTTCTTACATGCAGATGTGGAGACAGGTGAGTCCTGAGCTCCAATTAGAGGCAGCTTTCTGCTGTTCTTACAGAGACCCTCATTAGTCCACTTCCTGACTGACAAGTTGGCCATCATTTCTCCATGGCAACGTTAGCCAAGAATTACGAAAACACCATAACCATGGCTACTGAAAATTATATTATGTACTTCACATATAGGGTAAAGGTTAGATCACAGAAAACACATACATTATTGCTCCTGCACTTTCAACTTGCATTTGCATGAATACATGCACAGACACACACACACACATATACACACGGATCTATATTCAGTCATTATCTGTGAAAGCACACCTATATCTACCTGCACAGATATTGTCAGAGAGGAAAATATTGATTCAAATATGTATTTCTCATTCGTTCCCTTATTTTTTCATGCCTTAATTGAGTTATTAAGATATTCACACAGTGCTGAATGTCCTGCTGTATGTTTACAACAATGCATCAGAGTAAAAGTGTTGGCACATATTGTATTAGGCAAATTAAGGGCAGGTAAATGCAGGCATTCAGAAATAAGTTTACAGACTCACACAAACAAAATCAGAAAACTGCAAAAAACTGACTCAAAGAAAATGTTCCTATCAGCAGCATATTTTAGAAGAATGTGTGCCAGTTAAACCTAAAAGGCATGTTTTTCTTTTTAAATGAAGAATTAACTAATGGTCATGATGGCTTAGTCGAGGATATTTGGGTGATTGTGTTTGTATGTTTACACGTGTGATTGTGTGCTTGTGTGTTTGCGGTAGGGTGGGGGTGCATAAATAAACAAACAAGAGCGTATACGTGTGTGTCCATGATTATGTGCAATAAATCGTGAGCAAAGCAATGACCCTGAGGATGTGAACTAAGAGAATGTGAACACAGAATTGTTGGTTTTCTTGTGATGCTTTAGATTACAGAGGAGAGGAAGAAGAGAGGGAGGGTAAATCCTCTGATTAACAGCAGAGGGCCACAGGGCATAACGGGAAAACAAATTATGTGGAGCTACTGTAACTATGTGTATATGACGGGCCACTGTAATATTACTGAAATTGTATCACTTCAGCTTTTAAGTGGGAATCAAAGGGCAATATTTTGTGAAAATCATCTTTAAACCTTCTCACTGTAGTCACTGAAGGTGAATCCAATCATGGTGAAACAACCACGGAGAGGGGACGTCCCCTTGTGTCAACCGCTTGTTCTTAAGGAGGGCCGAGTCCTGGACATGTTACACTACATCTGTATCTGTCTCTCTCCTCAGGGCTTCATGTCTCATTTCCAGACATGATGGACATGAAACACTAAACCAGTCCTCAAAAAGCTGTTGCGTTATGGTTGTTACAGTAGGTAGAAGATTTATGTCCGTTCGTAGATAGAGAACACATTCAACTTTGTACGGGCTTGGAAAGCTCCTATGGGGCTTTTGGGTTATCTCCTCCCTCATCCTCACCTCTTTTACACTATGAGCTGGGCTGAAGACAGTAGTTATTGTGTATTCATGTACAGTTTTCAGGGATGTAAATATTGAAGTGACTGTTTTGCGTTTTAGAATTTAAATTAAAATTTTCTTTGATCACAATCATCTGCCGGACAGAAAATCAGTCGTTGTGATAAACTCTCGAGTGAGATGGAAAGTTACTGTAAAGAAAAGATTCATGTAAGTGTATTTGTGTTAATACTGTATGTGTGTACACTGTACTGTACATTTATGACCATGTGTATAGAGACATATTAGTATTGTATAAGATTTATAATACGTGTTATTGTATAGGACAGAACCAAATCTGTATTAAAAATATAAGAATTGATCTATTTCTGTTCATTGTGTCAATTCCTGCATAGCTCAATGTAATGGTTATTGTTTTTCAAATTAAAATTTTTGAACTAACCAATTTTGTTAATTTAGGGAATGTCAATTTAATTTGATCTTTCCAGGGCCATATCACTTCTACTGTGGGGTCAGGGTTATTTGAAGTGTATTATTTGAAGTGTATTATTTGAAGGCGTTTTACAGTAACGCACTACTTCCCACAATGAGCAGCACTTGGCGACAGCAGAGAGAAAAACCTCACTTTCAACAGCAAGAAACCTGGAGAGCAGAACCAGACTCAGGGTGGGCGGCCATCTGCCTCGACCAGCAGATGATGTGTAATGATGTGTAAATGGAGGAATATGCCAATTTCGTCACTTTCATGAGCAGGAGCCCTTTCAGAAAGAAGGTTTTGTCAAAAGCCTTCCATCACAATTGCAGCTATTTTAGGAGGGAACTTCTGGGACTCATCCCGGTGGCTTGGGATTGTCCGACATCTCTCATCCTCTGCACCTCACTGTCCAAATGTGTCTCTCTTTTTTTCCAGCCGTCTCTGCCTTCCAACATTTCTCTGATCCCAAAATTTAGAAACTCTGTCCCAGCTCCATGCAGTATTTAGTGCTGACTGTATTGATCCCACTCTTCGCTTCGCTGTGATGCGACAACTCTGCTAATCACCATAATAAAGATGAAACTTGTTAGTCAGGTGAGCATCTGTCGAGGCAGCTCATTCTCTTGATGTGAACGCTTCAATATTTCATTTTAACTAGAGCAAATCTGTCTTCATGTGTGATGTGTGTGTGTCTTTGTTGCCTCACTGATTTGTGCAGTGAATTGACACTGAAGATTCCTCCACGCTATTTACAGTAATAAGCTCATCAGTCTCGTCCTCTTTTTACACCCGTTTCCTCTACTGGTTCTGCTCCTCTATATTCTGCCATTCTGCATCTTTTTCATCTCTTATCCACACTTGGGCCTTCCAGAACAAAGCGAGGAACAGCTGCAGTGTCTGAGAACGAAGGAAAGTCACCTTGGGGGTGACAGAGGGACAAAAATGTGAGACAGAGACGTAGAGAGAGAGGGAGAGTCGCAGTATGGAGGGGAGATTAGTGGGAAAAGAGGGAAGGGGATGAGAGGCATAGAATCTGGCATCAGGACATCATATGACTAATAAAGGGAAAGCACTGATCCAAAAAACATTCAAGCCACATGTCAGAAAAGCCAACAAGACATTTTTAAAGTCGCTCCCTTCTTCTGTGATTTCTGGCAAATAATTAAATCTGTAGTGGCTCAGTAATGGAGAGAATAAAGAACAATAGGCTGTCAGTGCTTTGACAGGACTTTATGTACTTGTTGGTCCTGGTTCTCGCAGAGGCCTTCAGATTTGATTTGAGCAATATGTTCTCTGATGCTGCAACGCTTCATCGACATGGAGCACTCTGGATCTGGAGAAATGAGGATTTAAAAAGTGGATGGAATACATGCTGGTTTTCCATTGACTTTAAAACCATATAAATACCACAAACATGTTAAGTACATAGAATATCCTAATACAAGGTTGGATGATTAAATGAATGCATGCTTTCGTGTATTTTGGCCTATGTACAAGACAAAAGCAACGGTATAAAATGTGTCCAGACAACAAAACAAAGTGTGAGCAATAAAACAATGCCATGCTCTAATATAAATGTCACGTCTTTCCACCTAAACAGCAAACTCGATGGGAGATCCCATCGATTGTATTGATTATTGATCACTTACAATAGGACGGTGGCTATAAAAATGACCAGAAAACGTTGATAATGAATGAATTACAATTTAAAAAGATGTTTGTTCTGTCTCTACGGTTCTTATAACACTCAGTGATCGTTACACACAAGAAAACCAGTTTGTTAAGGTCAGCAATGGCGCCATCTTGCGTTCAGACGTCAAAACAACCACAGCTGCACACGCGTTCAAATTCAAAACAACTTTATTTGTCCCCGGAGGACAATTGAAAGGAAATCTACCGGCGCCGTTGTTCCAGGTGACGTTAACTTTCCTTCTCCCTCTGTTGTTGTTTCACAGCTCATCTCTTGTGGCCTGAGAAGTTTTCAACAGGTTCTTCTCTGTTCTAAACGACATGCGGTGTTAGCGTCACACTGAGGAGCTTGCTGCGGCCCATTAGCTTGTGCTTTGTGTGTCATGGCGGGAGATAGTCCCGGGTGTTATCGGGCGAAAGGCGGAGAACAGATTCAAACATTGTCAAAGAAATACAAGAAACTTCCGGACCTGCCTTTATAATGCATTGTTGATCCCAGCAATCTTCACCCGCCGAAATAGCTCAGTTGGGAGAGCGTTAGACTGAAGATCTAAAGGTCCCTGGTTCGATCCCGGGTTTCGGCAGCGGACATTGGACATGTTTTTATTTTTTCAACTAGTCAGGCTGCTTTGACTATCACCTGCAAGCGCTGTCAACGTATAGAAATATATTGCACAAAATCATACTATGAGGGCGTGGAAATGAATTTCTTATATAACTTTATATAGAACATAAAGATGCAACATCATTCAAAAGACATTTTTAAAAAGTTGCATTAAAACAAAATATACAAAACAAGTAGTGAAAGAAACTCATTTCTTCAAAGGCTGTAGCAGACAGTGAGGTCCTCAGCATTGATTTAAAAGATTTGCAGCAGAAACGGACAGATTCTTCTCCGTGTTCAGAGATCAGACCTGAAGGGTCAGGATCAAGCTACATATGATTCCCAATCACAGCGAATACTAATACTTTAATTCACATCTGCACTTCACAATATGTCCTTATACTCATGTATAAACGGTTTTTCTACCTGCTCAGGCAATCATCCTGTGCCACTGCTTTTTACTACCACTGTAGTGGTTTGTATAGAAATGTTATGACGTTTTGTCTTATCTAACGTTGAATGAATCAGAATCTTAAAACTTTGTTATTATACTCAGATACAATTAAATTGAAAGAGGCCTCACTCTACAGTCAAGGATATGTATATATTTATATTAGTGTCAAAATATAAAAAAGTAAATAAGTATTAGCAGCAAGAAAATTGTAAAACTAACATACCTAACGAGATACAGAGAGTAAATAAGGCATATTTACAGTGTGAAATGTTCAGAAGAATGGGAATGTTTAGTGGTGAACCAGAAAGAGCTGTAGACTTTAGACATTAACTTATCTTATCTAATCTTAAGTCATGATAACGAGATGACGTCTCCTTATTTTGACCTTTCGTAAAAACAATGACTCTAGGGTTTTTGAAGACAAAATATTAGAAGCATATTTATGTTTCCACAAAGTTAAGTGTTTTTAATAGTGGTTAAAGGTACAGTGTGTAGAATTTAGTGACATCTAGTTGTGAAATTGCATGTCACCTCACCCTCCCCTTCCAAACATCAGAGAACCTGTAGAAGCCTTCAGTTGTCATAAAAACTCAAAAGGTGTTTAGTTTGTCCAGTCTGGACTAATGTAAAAAACACGGCAGCCTCCGTAGAGAGGACCCCCTCGATGTAAATATAATAATATTGTATTAAATACAAAGGGCCCCCTCTAATGTATAGAAAACAACAATTAATAAAAAATGTATGAAACACACTAGTGAAAACATCACTAGGGTAATTTTATATTAAATTTGAGCCAATGGATTATTTTCTCCTAAATCTTACACACTGAACCTTTAAGTGGTTTTACTTCTTTGTTTATTTAGACATGCATTACAATGCTTGTGTAAATGGTGAACAAATGGAGATGAGGATAACCTGTTACAAAAACATTGTCATTATATTATATTATTATATAAAGTTGGAGGCTTTAGATGAAAATAAGTTAAACTCTGTGTCAGCCGAATACATCTAATGTGAAAATTTCACCCCCATAAAGCCAACTTCTCGAGGTCTTGCTCATCAATTGAATTATTTTGGGCTCAATTCAAGAATGAGTTGGTTCAAATTATAAACAAGACATTTACTCATATGACTAATATGATACAAGAATTAATGTTCCTCCTCTGTCATATATTTTATATATTTTTTTATACAAACCATGTGTACATCCATGTGTTTACAACGAAAAAGAAAACCGGTTCACATGAATATTCACCAGGGGGCGATCTTGGTTAATAAATCATTGAACAGCGCCTCCTCATGACAGATTCACCTTAGGGTTTATTATGTTGGTTTAACAAGTTAAACAGACATCAGGCATTTAAAAGCTCATTATTATATTCATTTAGTTAATAGTTCTGATGAATTGATCATGTTATTTTCTCCCACCATTTGTTAAAAAGTATGTTTTAAAATATTTATTGCTTTTTATTTTTTAAGTACCTGTTGGAATGATGTCTGGTTTTTAAGTGATGTGATTGGTTAGTAGTTAGTCTGTTGGCAGGTTTGATCATGTTAACCAAGATCCTCAGAAGTTAACCTGCAGGTTAAGTGTGCAGCAGTTACCGTGGTGATTTAACCACTGTAGTGATCTCAGGGTTTAACCGGACATGTCACCAATCACAAAAGATGCTTGGTAATACAGAGCTGAGGTAGAATAATATATTTGGCACGTTGCATGGAGCTAATTAATCAATTATCTCTTAAACAGTAATTTACCTCATGACAACTTCTTAGAATTTAACTGCACTGTTTGTTTTTCAGTAATTAAAGCTTCTTGCGTTGTTCCATCATCTTGTTGTTAAACACACTTTCATGCTAAAAATGTTATGCATTTACATTTTATGTGATTCAGTGATTCACATAGTTGTCATGGACCTCATGTGTGCCGTCGTGTGTGTGACAAAAAGCAAAAAAACAAATCCCTTTAAATCAATAAATAAAGGCAAAGATAGTGTTGGGGTTAGACGGAGTAGCCTCTAATAAGTCAATGTAGTGCCTCTGAAGGCATGGAGACATGTCTGTGTGTGTGTGTGTGTGTGTGTGTGTGTGTGTGTGTGTG